ATTGTATTTATATTATTGTATATTTGGGGGTCTATTGTCAGAGCAATTGGCCCATCTTAAATTATTCAAGTTTTAAATAATGCAAAGTTTATACTCTAAATAACTTAAGTAACTTAATAAATCTACATGAAGAGAATGTAAATGGCTCAACTAAAATTCTCAAGAAATAAGGAAATCTCAAAGATAGTATAGTACTCATCTTAGTTTAAAATTTTTTCTTATTAAAATTCTAATTAGTGAGCAGAAAGGCAAGATGGCTGACCAGAGATACCAACAGTCCAAATGTCTTAGAAAGAAGGAGAAATTTTACATAAAAGAGAAAAAACACAGACAGAGATTGGGGTAGGTCTGAGAAAAGAATGTCAGACCTTCAGGAGACTCCACAGGAAGCAGCTGTGGAGCAGAGCATGCAGAGGCATGCCACTGGTAAAGACCAACCCCATGGTGGCTTAGAGTCCAGAGAGAAGGGCAGGTAGAGTAGTTTGTTTCTCCTTCCCTTGCATCTCTGACAGTCACAGTTGACCACCTCCTTTACCTAATTTTCATAGACAGAAAAGTACCACATGTACGTATCAGTACAGTAGGCCTAGTTCCTTATGTTGACCACCTCTGTATGTTGGCCAGTTTGTTACAGTCCCTTAGAGAGATTTTATTGTGTATTTAGTTAGCACTACATATTCTAGGCACAGAGGAAGGCAGGTGGTCCCTGTATTCACAGAGTTTATAGTATGGTACCGTAAATGTGAAAGCATTAACAAATGTGAAACAGTTACAAAAGAGAAAATTAAGTATAATTGGATATAAAATTAAAAGAGCTCACCTAGTAAAAAGGGTTAGGACAACTGTCCCAGAGAAAGAGCTATTTGTTTAATCTAAGTACCAAAGTATAAGAAATTACCCGGTAAAAATTAAAGGGAAAATGTTCTCCAAGAAATAGCATGCCAAGGTCCTGAGGAGAGAAATTGTGTAATAGTGTATGGAAACTTCAAAGAGGGAGAAGATGACCAGTTCAGCTATAGCACAGAGAACACGGGTAGAGCATCCTATGGATGGCATTATATCTCAGGTCAAAATAGTCCTCATGCCTGCTACATACCAGGTAACTGTACACTTAAGGCATGTTTTCTTGCCATCCAGGAACTCACATTCTTCTGTGAAGGATGACAGGTAAACCTACAGTGGCATAACAGTCAAACTAGATTTATGTACAAGTACTTCAGAGAAAGAATTGTTAACATTTCCTGACTGACTGGGAAGTTTTCTAGAGGAAATAATGCCTGAGCAAAGATTTTTAAAATGAAGACCAGCTCCCTAAGATGACAATGGCTTATTAGCAAAGAACCAGCATGTGCAAAATTACAGAAACATGAAAAAATAATCAAAGCTTTTCCATTAAGTCACCCCTTATAGCCTGGAAAAGAAAGTATTTTCATGCACATCAGAATGAGGGCCCCAGCAACATAATAGAATGAGTCTACAGGATGATAAAAGTACTTGAAGAAAGAGGTTTCATCCTCCTTACCTCCTACCCCCCACCTCCAGTCAACAATGGAAGCTTATTACAGTACTTTGCTTACAGCAGGAACTCAGTGTCAGTTAATATATATTTGTGGAATAAATAAATTAATTTATGTATTGAATTAAAGTTAACTAATTAATCCTGTTAATGTAGAAGGAGAAAGACAGCAAATACACTTTAATATGCTCTTCAGGAGCTGGGAAGGCAACTGCCAAAGGAGGATGTGCTAGATAGTGAAATCCCTGTGACTTCAAAAGTTCAAATGATAAGAGCATGGGCTCCAAATCAAGGCACCTGGGACTCCTTGTATAAGAAGGCAACAAAAATGGGTGAGAATGACACAATACATAAAAAACATACAACTGAAATTTTGTATTATTTTTAGATAGATTAAATAGACATTGTTCCTATAAATACAGAGATAATCAAGAATTTAGGATCGTTTATAGCATTTCAAGCATAGAACAGAGAATTTTACAGCATATCTTTTCTCCTCCTGCCCCTATCTAAGCCTTGAGTTTTAAGAAACCACTTAAATTAACTTCAAAATGTTCCTGCAGACATTACTAAACTCTGTCCATACCAATGAATTCCTATGACATTACTGTTTCCATGGTAACTAATGCACTTCAAATGGGAGAAAAACAGAAAGCAAGACTAAAAACCAGGAGGGAAAATAGAATAAAGTGGTATAAACGAAGCATAATATCTCCTTTGTATTTATGGAACACTTTCTAATTTCAAATGCTTTACCATTACTCAGACTCTGAAGCTCTAAAGGGACAGAAAGATCTTAGAGGTCATCAAATCCACCTTCTACCCGTAGTCAAGACCCCCTTTATAGCATATCTGTATCAAAGTTATCCAGCTGTTTACAGAGCTCATTACTAAAAAGTTCTCACTTATTCGCTTCCTAACATTACTCAACACCTATCTTGTTTACAGGTTTAAGGGATGATTGAGACATTCTACCTCTTTTAAAAATGTTTTTAGTTCACAGGGAAAATAATTAAAAGAAAGGTGAACAAGAGGGCTATAATAGAAATACAGTAAGATGGCCAAAAAGCCAGAGGAAGGAACTATCAATATTAGTTCTGATTTAGAGGGATTACACATTCAATGACTTTCATTTCTACTCTAAGTCCCACCAACCCACGACCACATCTTGGACCTTATCATGACCTAAACTGCTCCAACTCTGCAAACTTAAACTCTACCATGAACTTTCTGATTCCAAACAGCCCTTTCACTCCCTAACTAATCCCTGAAGTAATCCTATGAGCCTATGAGTCATTCCACTCCCAATCAGCAGCAAAGTCCATGTAGGCCCTGCCTCACGGCTATAGTTACACAAATGACAGCGTCAGCTGAAATGGTCTGCTGGGATATAAAATGACAATTTACTGGGTGTGAGAGAAGTTTAAAAAAGGTCTCCTGTTCTCTTTCAAGAAATTCATAATGTTTATGAGTGAGTTAGACATATGCCTCCACCCAAATGACAAGTTAAGCACTCACTTATATGCAGACAGAATAGCTATCATCCAGACCTTGAAGTGGTCTTAATGCACTATTAGCCCTCTATTTCTGCCAAAACAGAAAGATTATAGATTACTTGTTAACTCCTTGTCATAATTTTTGGTAGATAACCTAACATTTTGCTGATTTTTATTTTAAAATATCATTAACAATAAGGAAACTTACTGAGTTATCTGAGCAGGTATTATTTATATATATAATAGTTTACTTTGGAGGACATAATAGGAAGTCATATTGCTCAAAATAGTTTCTTTAGAGAGACAGTTTTCTGTCTGAGGCAGGCATTTGATTATTCTTGCTACAATTCACAACATTAAACACTGGCCCCAAACTACTTGCTGATCACAATTTTACCCCTACCAGTAAAAATACTCTCAGGTCACAGGGAAGGTAAGCACACAGGCACCTTCCTTATCAGGTTCCTCAATTTTCACAAGCTCTGGGTTGGAGTGTGTTAGTCTAACCCCGAGCTCATGGCTTGTTAAGGCACATAGCTCTCCACTAACTAACTGGCAAGAGAGAAGAGAGAAAGAGAGCAAAGAGATCACCTCACCCCCACTACTACACAGTTTTAGATTTTTCATAAGCTCCGCCAAGAGAGAAACATTTATGAAAGCTTCACTCTGAGTCCTTTTGTACTACTGTATTATGGGATTTTATCATGTGTCACGGTCTTGTAGAAGAATTTGATAAAACTTATAAATTCTTCCCATATCCAAATAAATACACTCGAACATAAAATCTGGGGTAGGTGTGAGAGGTGAGAGTCCCTGAAGCTAATCCATGGGCTGAAGTTTAAAAATCTTTGCTGCATAAATTCTAAAATCCATTCTTGAATTTACACAGTGTCACTAAAGAGCCACACAGATAGAAGCCTCAGCTTGGCCTTATACTGAAATGTTTGTTCCAAATTGTCCTCTGCCTCAATTCCATCTGCTCTTGTTGAGGTATAGTAAAAGGAAGACCCTCTATTTACTATCAGCAAGGTGGTGAGAGTGTGTTCATTTGCATATACAGTTGCTTCTTTCCAAGAACCTAGAGAAGACATGTCTCTCTAGTCTCAGCTCCATTTCTCTTGATCACTTAGTTCTTTCTTTCTTTCTTTTTTTTTTTTAGAGACAGAGTCTCACTTTTTTGCCCTTGGTAGAGTACCATGGAGTCACAGCTCACAGCAACCTCCAGCTCCTGGGCTTAGGTGATTCTCTTGCCTCAGCCTCCCAAGTAAGTAGCTGGGACTACAGACGCCTGCCACAATACCCAGCTATGTTTTTGTTGCCACAGGTGCCGCCCCGATCACTTAGTTCTTTCTTAACCTTGTGGAAATGGACAGTTTTATAAGGACACCATGTTTCTTTTCCCTTGGCTTCTAGAAAATTCATGGCACACCTCTAGCATGTGTTTAAGTTCCTTAATGGCACACAATTTTTTTACTGATTTCACTTCTGACTCCATCTGATTTTAATTATTCTTTGTCTATTTTTACTAAATTTTTAACTTGTTTTATTTTATCATATTGTATAGATTACCCTGAAATACCTTCCAGGAGAAGGTGAGCTGTAAATGAATTGAATTATAGGAAGCAGAAGGAAAAGAAATAATCTTTTTTTCATGTTTCCCCACATGTGATCTATTCATGTCTATCTCAATACCGGTAATTTCCTAATATATCTTGTTACTTTCTTGGTCAGTGACTGCTGTAGTTATGAGAAGAAGTACTTTTTCAAAAAACTCATACCTGAAGGGTGTTTTAGAATTCTTCTTGGTTAACATAACATGCAGACATACTTGTGCCTATAAGTGTGTTTTTAAAGTAACCATAAAGATGAACTAGGACTTTTATAAAGATTTCTCTGCACAGGACTAAATTAAAACTTCAATGGTATTTTTCCATGACTTGCTTCTTCAGTTAGAATTGTTTCAGTAGTGAAGCTCTGTAAATACTTACAGGCACGTGGACTTTTCGAAACATCTCAGCACCCTTGTGTGCATCCATCAGTGCAATATCCTGGGGTGTGGAGACAATCACAGCACCTTATCAAAAGATAAACAAAATGATGCTATCTTTTAATTCTTTATGGAGACGTTACTTTCATCATTGTGTTTCTTCCATGCTCAAATAGTCTACTACATTAACTATTTAGGTAATTTGTATAAATTTTATATAAATGAATGGTAAGGACAAGTAAATGTCTACTTTGCTCTTGCCTACCTAGTTTTCCTCACAACTGACTGATGAATGATTCAGGATCATAACTGTATCACTGGAACCTTCTTCCCATTCAGACAATCTGCTAGTTGGACAGACGAATATGGCAACTCTTACTTTTAAGAAGTTAACAGTCTACTTAGAGAGTAGTTTGTTAAGAAATTTAACAGTATGCTAAGCACTATAACAGGAATAAATAGGAGAAACAGGAAGGAAAACGAATTCAATCTGGGAGAGAAGATGGTCAAGTATGCGGAATGGTTGGGAAAGCAAGAGATGAGGAGACCAATGAGAAAGATGATTCCTATGCCAAGTCCTAAACATTTATATTCTTAAAACTCATGGTGAAAAATAGTTTGGTGGGAATAAAACCGAGAGCTGTGGCAGAAATTCAGATGCAAAATGGTGGTGGTCTGAACTAGGGCAGCATTGAAGTGGTTGGAGATGGAGACTTTTCTGGATGTCCACTATTATCCTACAGAAACCAGAGGGTAGTAGAATATAGCATTTTGAGAGAAAATGCAGTACAATTTTGCTTTAAGTGGAAACAACAACATCCTGGTTAAGATTGGCAGAGTTGGTGAATTTCCGAAATTTTGTGGCTTCCTCTAGATCGGCAGTTCTCAACCTGTGGGTCACAACCCACAGGAACTGTATTAAAGGGTTGCAGCATTAGGAAGGTTGAGAACCACTGCTCTAGATGATAACCTAAAAAATAATTAACATAAACATATTATAGATCACAAAGCAATCACTTTATAACTAAATATACAATGCATATACATTTCAGCATTAATGGTATTAAGTTACAGCTAGTGAAACTAATGAAATGAAATGAAACTATCACTTTATAACTAAATAACAATGCTATGACATTTCAGCATTAATGGTATTGAGTTACAGCTAATGAAAACAGAGGCAAGATTAACAATAACTAACTGGCTACACCAAGTGAAGATGAAATGATACTACAGGGTACTGTCTACAGGGGTATTTTGAAGAAGTAACAATAGGAGAAAAGTGGTGGGAAAATAGAAGTTATCACAAAGCACATGGCAGTACAGGCATGATAAACTCAAAAGAGCCCATGTAATAGTGGTTAACCGTAAATTCACCTTGCAATTAGCATCTTCGTTTCAGCAAAAAACTTCACCTTTCACACTGAATTGATGTCCTTAATCTGAATTTTATTGACTTTGTAAGTTTGTTTGTATTTAGTTCATTTATTTAGTTGTTAATTATATAACATGAACAATAAGCTTAAGAATGTGTGTTTACCTAGTTAAGTAAACTTATAATAAAAATAAGTCAATATGGGATATAGGGGTAGGAGATTATTTTTCCTTTAGAATGGTCTATTCTTTACTCAAGTTTGAGATACACTAGACTTATAATTCAAAGAGATTAGGATTCAAATTTTGATTCCATAGTTGACTACGTGTAACTATGTGATGACTAAACCTGACTTATAGTTTCTTTATTTACAAAATGGCATAAAAACTAGGTCACGGGCTGAAATAATCCAATAAGCTGCCATATACAGATGTGTGACATGATACCTATGATTTAATAAAGGATAGCTGTTGTCCTTAATATTAGTGTATTTATTATTGTTATTAATAAAGTGCTTTAGAAGTTGCCAGGGAAATCATTTGCCATGCCATCAGGCAGCTCATCCTACTTTTCAAACTGTTCCATGGAGGGCTACAGCCTTCTATTTCAATTGTTTTCTCTGCCCAAGAAACCAAAAATTAGCCAACAGTTCTCTTTTCCTTCTTTTAAAGACCCATGGATATCACATCTCAATAAAATTATACTCTACATATTCAATATATTTCCACAATTTACCACCTTCTAAATTCTGTTATCAATCTGTTTCACTGTGTTTTTCATATCCAGTCATTTGGAAAGGATCTGATTCCAGCTCTGGTTACATCCAGCTGTGTGAGACTAACCTTGGACAAATACCTCAGAATCACTCTGGGCCTCAGTCTCAGTTTCCATAGTTGTAATACTAGTGCACAAACCAAACAGTCTCCAAGAACTCATCTGTCTCTATGATTATATGACTCAGCAATCCCTCTTAACTATAAATATCTTCCAAAACCACCTCTGCTCTACCTGGCTGCCTCATAGTCTTATTTAAGTGAATGAGAAATGCTGTCTCCTCCAAGAAGTATTATCCCTCAATCTTAGAGCCACTCTGTTCATGGATAAGCAGGAAACCTCCTTGGTTATTTCCTCTAAACCTCCTTGACTATGTACCGTGTTTCCCCCCAAATAAGACACTGTCTCATATTTATTTTTTCTCAAGAAGACACAGTAGGGCTTATTTTCAGGGGATGTCTTATTAAGGATAATACAACAATCTACATTTATTCAAATACAGTTAAGAAGTCATCTTTTTCTGGAACCTGACAGGAGGAGCCGACCTTGTTGGTGAGTCTGTGTGCAATAGGATGCCTGCGACCGCAATTACCACATGTGCACCTGCACAAGTGCTAAACGGTTCAGAGAAAGGAGCTGTGGCAGACAAAGGTATTCCAGTCTTCCTTAGGGCTCTGCACTGAAATGCATGGCCATGCCCATCAGTAGGTCTTATTATCAGGCTTATATTTAACAAATGCATAGAAAACCTGCTAGGGTTTATTTTTGGGGTAGGTCTTATTTTGGGAGAAACACGGTATATCTAGTATATACCGTGTTTCCTATTACATTGGCTCTAAAAAGTATTCTTAGTTTTTATGTGATATGAATATGTTATTGTTTTAAATACTTTGTGTCTACCATTTGTATCACCATTAAACAAGATAGCTTCAAGGGCAATTATGATTTCTTTTTTATCTTTTTATCAAACAAAACTCATGATACAATATCTTATACAAAATAGGCACTTAACAAAAGATAAATAATTCAAATAAGTTTCTTAAATGTTTTCAGAATCATCTATTCTACACTACTGCAGCATGAACTTTTAGTTGGCAACTCCTTGAAATAGTCAAAAGCTCTGGATTCTGGTTTTGTTGATTGTGTTAAATATAACATATAACCTTGAATAACTCACTAAACCTCAATATACCTCAATTTACTCCTCAATAAGATGAACCTATTTCCATTAGCCCTATTTAACTTAAAAACCTATTCGTTTTTTTTTTAAAGGTAGAATTTTTATAAAAATGTTCAGGAACATTATTTTGATTGCTATAAGGTCCTAGAGAAAGAGGTTAAAGCCACTGGTTTTCTCTGTACCTAACACTAATGCAGTATCACTAATAAGCATTCATGTCATTTGAGCTTCTTTTTAGAGCAGCATAAATAGCACCATTCAAACAAATTAGTGGTAACTTCTGACAACAACAAGGATCATCTTCCATGTCCTATCAAATGCTTACAAAACATCTAAACATTCCATTACAACTACTGGCCACGTTTACAAAAGATATTTTGGTTAAGACTATTTTTTTTTCTTAAATATATGTACCTAATTAATGACTAAGTCCTTAATCACAATCCAATCTGACTTTAAGATACTGTGCTGAAAAAGTTTTCTAGCCTTTCTTAAAGAATAGAAAAACACAACTGGTTCACACATAAACCACCAACTCTTTTGTTGTATAAATATTTAGTACATTATTACATAGTAACCATTTCAGATAACCTTATAATGACTTTTAGAATTTATGATAGGGAATTAAAACATAAAGAAACAATAAAAAAACTTCTAGAAAACTAAATTTAATCTTTACACAATCAATGCATCATAGCCCAGATTTTTAAATTTTAAAGAACTATGTTAACTTTTTTTTGTTATTGTATCTCTTAGCTTAAGATATAGTCCCCCAAGCCTCATACTACATTTTATCTTTATGGTTCTTGAGTTTACACCTGGCAATTTTTATTTTTTTCATGGCTCATGAAACATAAACCAATAGGAACTAGACTAGAATTTTGTACCTTTATACCATCACTAGTGATGTCATTTCAGTTTTGTGAAGAGTTTGTAAGAAAACTTGTGCTCCCTCTACTGACTATAAGGAAATGTCAGAAATAAAAAGAAAGTTTAGTTTGCAATAAACAGAATTATTTTCTGTAAGTAAAAAGCCTATCTCAAGAATCCTATCAAGAATTCTCTAACCGGCTTGGCACCCATAGCTCAGCACTTAGGGCAAATGGCCACATACACCAAGGATGGAGGGTTCAAACCCAGCCCGGCCACCTAAACAACAATAACAACTGCAACAAAAAAATAGCCAGGCTTTGTGGCGGGTGCCTGTAGTCCCAGCTACTTGGG